AGTGAGATACAGAATCGCAAGGCTGTGCTAGGCCATATTCGTGACAAGTTTGGTTGGATATTAAAACAAATTATTTGTGTAATAAGTAATGTACATTGTAATTACATTATTTAAATTTTACATTTGTAAGATTCGTGTTATATTGAGGACAGTTATCGTATAGTAGCAGATTTTAATTCGCGTGATGTGTTTGCTTGTTCTTTTGAACAAGCAAACACATCAACTTGGTATAATCAGTTTTTATTCTAATTTTTTAGTGTTCCAAGTAAGCTCTTAATACCCTAAACAAATAAAAATAATTCGACTACACAATAAATACAATATGTAAAAATGTTATTATTAGGTACCGAATTGATAGAAATCGATTTACTGCATCTATTTTGATATGAATTTAACTTACCACCTAATTCCTGGACCAATTATAAGAATTATCTAAAATAATAATACTGTTTTTTATTTAACTAGGTTTAAATTAGGGGTCGTTTAGACGTATGAGAATGTATTTATTATCTTATATAAAAATTCTGTTATTGTTTTACCATACTCGATGGTTTTTATCAAATTTTATATGCATATTCAGTAGGTCTGAGAATCGGCTACTATCTATTTTTCATACCCCATAAGTGATAAGGGTTGCCCACCCCTAACATTTTATTTTTATTTTTTGGACAAAACTTCTTGTTTTTATTTTTTTATGTAACAAACATACAACCCTTAATTGTCACCCCTCTACGATCAACCCCTATTTTGTATTATAGTAGATAGTTATTTTTATTGAACTAAAAAATGTTTCCTAGAAATAATTAGTACGGGAGGTAGCAACGTTTTCGAGAAAGAATTCCAGGTCAGCTGATTTTGTGATATGTCTTCCTTCTTGCACTTCCGGTTAGAGTCTGGGCAGTCTGGCTGGCGGTAGCGGTTGCGTTCATTAGTGCGCATCCTAGTTAGGTAATAATCCTGGATTTTAAAAGCATTTTAAGAAGCGTAATTTTTGATTTATCCTTTTTAAATACGTTACCTGATATACTTTTTTATTGCCAGACATTTTTCACGTTGCTACTATGTGCCAGACGCTTTGTTGTATTTTTAAAAATTTCAAAGCATTTTAGAATGTCTGTAATTTTAATATTATGTTATTTAAATATAAGAAAAACTGAAAATGAATTTGCCAGACATTAATTCGATGTTAAGTCTTGAATTAAAATGATAAAGTATGGCATTGCATTTTAAGAAGCGTAATTTTTGATTTTTCCTTTTTAAATACGTCTACCTGACATACTTTTTTATTGCCAGACATTTTTCACGTTGCTAACTATGTGCCAGACGCGATTTTAAGTTGTATTTTTATAAAAATTTCAAAGCATTTTAGAATGTCTGTAATTTTAATATTATGTTATTTAAATATAAGAAAAACTGAAAATGAATTTGCCAGACATTAATTCGATTGTTAAGTCTTGAATTAAAATGATAAAGTATTGCAGTATGATGAAGCATTGCATTTTAAGAAGCGTAATTTTTGATTTTTCCTTGTTAAATACGTCTACCTGACATACTTTTTTATTGCCAGACATTTTTCACGTTGCTAACTATGTGCCAGACGCGAATTTAAGTTTTATTTTTATAAAAATTTCAAAGCATTTTAGAATGTCTGTAATTTTAATATTATGTTATTTAAATATAAGAAAAACTGAAAATGAATTTGCCAGACATTAATTCGACTGTTAAGTCTTGAATTAAAACTATTGAAGAATCATTATCGTGTGAAGAACACGAAGAAGCTTATTCTAGGATAATTTTTCATATTTGCCAAATCGATTTTGACGCAGAAGTTGTTATACGCTGTTCTGATTCTGATATTTTAATTATACTTCTGGGAAATATGGATCACCTGAAAAAATCTTTGAAAATTTGGATAAATATGGGTGTTGGAAATCATCAGCGTTACATAAACATCAATGAATTGTACTGAATTCTTGGTGACTCTTTATGCTAAGCTTTACCATGCTTCCACGCAATCGCCGGATGTGATTACACGCCAGTTTTTTTAGAAAAGGCAAAGTTAAGCCTTTTAAAATATTAGAAAATTCTGAGGAATACCAGTTAGCTTTTGATAATATAATTTCGGATGATAAAGAATACTTGAAACTACGTTTGTAACCCTGGAGAAATTTATTTGTCAAATGTATGGAGTTAAAAATTGTCGATTGTTAATGATGTTCGATTTAATTTATTTTCAAGTACGTTTAAGTCAAAAAAATCAGATGAGAACTTTGACAAAAATTCTGAAACTTTGACTCATCCAGTTTGCCACCCTGTAAAGTGGAATTGGAACAGCATTTATTGAGGGTTCGTTACGTGACGAAAATTTGGAGAAATGCCACTCAAAACATCCAACATCTTTATCTCCAATGGCTTTTGGGTGGACCATTAACGGTGAATTACTATCCTCAGTTGCAGATATTATTGTTCAAAGTAAGTGTTAAATGGAACATTTATCAATAATAACTAAAATGGTTAATAACGAACAAGAAAAATTACACTGTTTATTTTTTTCTGTTGCAGATGATTTAGAAGATAACGAAAGTTCCCAAGAAGATGATATGAATGACACCGACAGAAGCGAAATGAGATGATTATGAAGATGCCTCTTTTTTGTGACGTCACTATAGGCTAAAACAACTTGTAAAACTCAATATTAATTATTCATAACTTACATTTAGTAATTAGGACAATTTAAATAAAGTGTTGATTATTAATTTTAATCAAATTTTATATTCCTTTTATGCTCGTACAAGTTATGCAATACTTTTCATGACTTTTACATTTTAATTCAAGGCTTAACAATCGATTAATGTCTGGCAAATTATTTTCAGTTTTTCTTTTATATTTAAATAACATAATATTAAAATTACAGACATTCTAAAATGCTTTAAAACTTTTATAAAAATAAAACTTAAAATCGCCTGGTACATAGTTAGCAACGAAAAATGTCTGGCAATAAAAAAGTATGTCAGGTAGACTATTAACAAGGAAAAATCAAAAATTACCTTCTTAAAATGCAATGCTTCATCATACTGCAATACTTTATCATTTTAATTCAAGACTTAACAATCGAATTAATTGGCAAATTCATTTTCAGTTTTTCTTATATTTAAATAACATAATATTAAAATTACAGACATTCTAAAATGCTTTGAAATTTTTATAAAAAACACTTAAATTCGCGTCTGGCACATAGTTAGCAACGTGAAAAATGTCTGGCAATAAAAAAAGTATGTCAGGTAGACGTATTTAACAAGGAAAAATCAAAAATTACGCTTCTTAAAATGCAATGCTTCATCATACTGCAATACTTTATCATTTTAATTCAAGACTTAACAATCGAATTAATGTCTGGCAAATTCATTTTCAGTTTTTCTTATATTTAAATAACATAATATTAAAATTACAGACATTCTAAAATGCTTTGAAATTTTTATAAAAATAAAACTTAAAATCGCGTCTGGCACATAGTTAGCAATGTCGAAAAATGTCTGGCAATAAAAAAGTATGTCAGGTAGACGTATTTAAAAGGGAAAAATCAAAAATTACGCTTCTTAAAATGCAATGCTTCATCATACTGCAATACTTTATCATTTTAATTCAAGACTTAACAATCGAATTAATGTCTGGCAAATTCATTTTCAGTTTTTCTTATATTTAAATAACATAATATTAAAATTACAGACATTCTAAAATGCTTTGAATTTTTTATAAAAATAAAACTTAAAATCGCGTCTGGCACATAGTTAGCAACGTGAAAAATGTCTGGCAATAAAAAAAGTATGTCAGGTAGACGTATTTAAAAAGGAAAAATCAAAAATTACGCTTCTTAAAATGCTTTTAAAATCCAGGATTATTACCTAGACAGATAGGATGCGCACTAATGAACGCAACCGCTACCGCCAGCCAGACTGCCCAGACTCTAACCGGAAGTGCAAGAAGGAAGACATATCACAAAATCAGCTGACCTAAAATTCTTTCTTTTCAAACGTTGCTACCCTCCCGTACTAAATATTCATGGCAACAGGACGTTTGCCGGGTCAGCTAGTTACAAATATATTTGTATAAAACCTTTTTAAAATGTATTGTGACTGATGAGCTGTCACGTTATCATAATTTATTAGGTAAAGATATATTACTATTATTAAGGTATATAAGTTAACTTAGATATAAATTATGCGTTAAAATGGAACGAATAACATTGTATGAAGAATATAAGTTTATAGAGAAAAGCGAAACTGAGGTATATAGTATTTGGAAAGGTATGCTTTTGTTTATAGTATTTTTGTCTCAGTAATAATAATCTTAGGCTAGGCACTTTCAATTGAAACCACGACTAAAAGCTAAATATGCACACATAAATATATTTTAGTAATAGTATGTACTTTAATTTCTGATATATACCTTACCACCGTGCCTAATATTTAATTACATAGTATGTCAATGTATGTTAATACATTGACATACTATGTAATTTATTAACAGTAACACTTACACTTACACATACGGTTAATTTATATTCCAAGGTACTCTTTTATACGGACATCGTATTTAATTACATATTTTATATATTTATTAAGTTGACCCTTGAAATTGAGACTATTGTGATCCTATCATTATTATCTCGGCATCGTAACTAGACGATGTCGTGCAACGGCATGCGTCGACCGGGAAACATCGGCAAGTGTCTCGACTCTCGACGAAGTTAAAAAAACTGTACTTTTCCTATCACTAAGTGATATTTATTTATTTAAATTTAATATGGGCATACCATGGACTTTCTAAAAATGTATTTCACTTTATAACTCTATTCCTACAAATGTTTGAAGAAATTAATTTGAAAAGATTGAAACGAACGGATCTGAAATGGACTTTCTTTGACATACTTACTTTGTGGAATTAAAAAAAACATATTCCAAATGAAAATCATGCAAAATAACTTGAAGTTCCACTCTTAAACTATTCAATTAACTTTTAAAAGTGCGTCAATAACAACATTAGTAAAAACGATTTTTTTTTATGCCGTTGTTCAACAATCGGAATTACCTACCAGCGGACATAGATGTTTTACATAAAAAAAACGTTGCAATATATATAAGAGGCAAATAAACTTTATTATTATTAACAGGCGCCCATCTATTATTGTTTTTCCTGGCGTTTGTGTTTGGATCGTTCTGCACTTTTTGTTTCCATATGCTGATGTATTTATTTGACGAGAAATGTGTATTGTTTCCAAAACTATTGTCTTTGACGTCACTACGCCAGAACATTATTTATGAATTCATTCCAGAGGATAAAGTGAAGGCAGAATGTAAGTTGTATGTACTTTAATATGAAACAAATTATTGGTTAAACCTCAAAAACTATTGCGATTTTACTTAATATATTGGTCACTACCCGGAATTTGAACCGACATGATCTGCAGTCGAACTTAACAACGTATATTAAAAAATATTAACTTTTTGTGTATTTAGAAGTACAAATGTTGGGCAAACTTCAATGTATCAGTCAATATACTTTTAGAAATTCAAAATAAATCCCTATATATAACGTTTCATAGCTAAATTCTCTTAAAAACCGGCAAAATTCTATTAAAAAACTATTTCTCACAGTTATATTCACTTGTAATATTTTTTGTGTCGAGTAATCAAAGTATCTTAAAGGCATCTAAAATTTAACGTTTATTGTACATTTATTGTGTATATTGTAAAAACAAAAATAAATTTTTATTTCAGTGTTGCCAGTGGACTTTGTCAGTACACAATGGGTAGAAAAAAGTGCTTGCTACCTACCGACGTATGTGCCTTTGGTTTCGGGAATTTTTGGTCTTGTTTGGACAACTATGTTCCTTATGTGTTCGGCGGGAAGCCGAGTTCTTACTGGGTTATTATATTATATAGCTATATATAGTCATAGTTATATAGCTTTTATTTTTATACCAGTGCCTGACATCCACATAGCACAAAACCTTAATAATGTCCTGATAGGACTTTAATGTATATTTATTTTGTAGACTGCTGTGCCTGACATAAGCGGTTTTTAGTGCAAGTTCTTTAACCGCGTTGTGGGATATATTATTGTTGATTACATTTTAATTCGTACTTTTTAGCATCAGTTGGTATTTTAGATAATTGGGGTGATTTAAAATTGTATTATTGTTTTTATTCAGTTTGCAGAGACCATGGAGGATCCTTCCTCCAGTATTTGTGTTTTCTTTGGCGATGAGTTCTCTTTGTATATATACTTCTGTCGTCACTCACTATGGCTTACACGATCTCTGTATGAAGCTGAGCGAAATTACTGGCAGCACAACGTAAGTAAGCATTCAGCATCACGTGAAATGACTTGGGAATCTTGTAGTTTGGGAAGGCATAGAAGTAATTTGGTTAAGAGATGCAGAATTATATTTTACAATAGTTTTTCATTTTAGAATAATCTGAAATTACTGAAGCATACGACTGACAAGGCAACTACTAATATCGATTTCCAAACGAAAATTTTAACAGTGAAAAAAAACATGTTTTTATTTTATTTTAGAGAATTTTTCATCTGATTGGATCGTCAACAAGCGATGGAGAAAAAAATAACAAATTTAAATGAAATTTTTCCCTCCTGTAGGGAATCAAACCCGATACCAACCTACTCTATATACCCAATAGTCATGCATATCATTTCACTTAGTATTTTTTTACTAAGTATTAAAAAAAAAATGATATTACAGTTTTATCAGTAAAGGTGTTTTGTTTTGTAGCTGCACGTATACGGTGAATGTTGCAACGCTGGTATATGAGCGGCGTATTCGTGGGGTCTATCAAGCAACCCATCTAACCATCCTCTCTGCATGGCTACATACAGCTTGTTGGGTGCTGTCAGCACTTCTAGCTCTATTTCGAGTATTGCTGGCGATCGATTTCCAACTTGTTCGTGTCAAAGCTGAACTTACCGGAAACATTGATAAATTTCTGGTTATTAACTTCTTTTTTAAACTTGTTATTCAAATGTAAATGTATTTCAAGTATGAAAGCGGTAATCTCACCCATTATGTCTTTTTTCTATTACATTTATCTAAATGTTTCCATAAACAACTTGTAAACTGAGCTTTTGGACAAGTTATATTTGGCTGCAATTATAAGACTCTTATATGCTATGCCTTTTTCTCAGGAAAAAAATGAAACGCACATTCGAACAATCTCTCCTGATCTTTGGGGGATGCCAGTATCCACTTCAGCATCCAAAAACAGCACGAAAGTTCATTTCCAGAAGGAATACTTAATTTCGAAGAGACTTCTAGGATCCGAATCAAGTCTATCAGATTTTGGTGACCAGCTATATCTTTCCGATGGCTCTTCAAAGAATTCCGAAATGGCTTTAGTTCCTGTTGAAAAACGGAAACTTGAAATGTATGAAATTTACAGCAAAGTTAGCAGAGAACATACATTCATAACGCAATTGTTGTATAACATTGTTGCTGATGTAACCGAAACATCTCCATTTCTTAGTTTATCCAGCAGTGTCAGTTCAATAGATTCTGATAGCAGCTTACTGAGAATTGTACGACAATATGGCCAGGAAAAAATAACTTCTCGTCTAGTACTCGCTGAACGGGGCAAGACACGAGCTTTGCTTGACATAAAAGAAGCTGAAGAGGCGGCGGTGGATCTTAAACGGGCATTAAAAAGCAGACTTAATATTCTTTACGAAAACACAACCTCAAAACTGGAAAATCAAAGTGACGAAGGAAAACAGGAATCTACAAGTGACCAACCGGAGTTAGGTGTTCCTAGCACAAGTAAAGATCCAGCTAAAACAAAGAAGTCAAATTTGAAAAATACTGCAACTCAAACTCATAAGAAACAACGCGATCCATCTGCTAAAGTTCAAATAGAATCAAAAACGAGTATTATGACTTCCGATACTAAACTTAATTTGGAAAAAGAAACACAAACTAAGAAAGAGAAACAAGATTAGAATTATTCCATTAATTATATCATTTAATGAATTGGTCCACCTCCGTCCTCCACAATGTAGCAGACGGTATTGTTATGTTTATAAACCAGACTTATAAAATATAAATAGATTGAATGTTTTTTATCTACGGCTAAACCCCAACACTCTCTTAGCTGACTCGCACTTTACAATCGCAAACTTAATGAATGGGTAGTTCTTTATTGAATTTTAGTACGTTTTATAAATATTAATAACATTCCTCCATCCAAAGTCTTAATACATCAATATTAGTCTAGTGTCTTTAGTCTTTCCAATTTATAAAAGGTTATATTAGGTCACTATTATGATTGTTTACACAATTAAGTGAAGTACGCGTGCGGTTTGTTTCATGGTTAACGAGTGAATTGCCAAATGATAGCCTTGATTTATTAAAGTTATTTATACAAGACCAACAATCTCTTGCTAAATACAGTTGTTAAACTAAGAGTTTAACGGATTTAAATATGTTATGTTAAATTTAAGCATTTCTCGGCACCGATTTGACAAATTTACTTATAATTAAAAACTAAATTATTTAAATTAAAATACCGTACTTATACGGTTCATATTGCAAAGAGTTCCAATGGAGAATAGTAATATTTCGTACTGTTACTGTTTTACTGAATTTTGTGAACAAATAAAACACAATTTAATAAATAATATTTAATGACAATGAAATAGTCCAGACCTATATAGTAACTACAAGACCATACTGCAAAACGTTTGATATATTTGGTATGTTGCCGAAAAATAGGAATGTAGAAAAGTTTCCATTCTAATCCTTATGTTAAACGTTAATCCTACTATTTAATTGTAATTGTAAAATAGATTTTTTATAATTAACAATTTTCGTAACAAATTAAAACCAAACATCATGCCAACTAAAATACACGACTATCTTATTCATATAAACTAAACCAATCCTATTGCACTAATAAAATCTCTTTTTATCACAGTCCAAACAAATTGCCAGGGAGAACGCAATAAAACCGATGTAGTTTTTGTGAATAAGTTACCAAAATCGTTATTATATTGTACGCGTTCACTAGCACGCGTTTTCTAGAGGCTTTAAGTTTATCCATATACCTCCCTCTGCAGCACAAGCCAATGATGTTGGCTTAATTTGAAGTGGCTCAATGGTTTTCTCATGTAAAGTGAATTCATATTTTGTTAATAATTTCACCAGAGCCATCTTCGACTGAATATACCCTTGACGTAAACCTGTAAAAATAATTTATTTTAGACTAGTCCTAAATTAAATGCGTAGGAGTAATAAAGGCAACGATGTGTTAATATTAGTTAGGAAAGCCGCATACGGCGTGCCATCTCCAATTTCGCTACCTTAAACACTATTAAATAATATAAATGTTTTTATCGTTGCATGCGTACATTAACTGTATCATAACTTACGATTAACAGTTATGGTAATTAATTTAAAAACCAATTAAGATAATCGGGTGATTAAGAAGAAAAGTGGATATTTCTCTACGTCATAAACCCAACAATTTGTTCAGCATTGTTAAACAGAACATTAAACGTTGTTTTTATATATGCGCAATTCGTAAAAATACAATTTTTTATATCCGACCGATTGGTAGCGTTTAATTGTTTCTTTCTTGACGTCATTCAGTTATTACGATGCAGGTGGACTTTGAAATTATGAAGCACGTCAGTTTTTTTAATTTATAATAGAGAGGGTCATAAAACGATTAATTTTGGATTTATTGTATGTATAAAATAAATAAAGGAGTGGCGCTACAACCTTTTTAGGTCTGGGCCTTAGATTTCTGTATCAGTTTCATGATTATTTGTTAATCTAATAGGCAAGTAGGTGATCAACCTCCTGTGTCTGACACACGCCGTCGACTTTTTGGGACTAAGACAAGCCGGTTTCCTCACGATGTTTTCCTTCACCGTTCGAGCGAATTTTAAATGCGCACATAGAAAGAAATTTCATTGGTGCAGACCCAGGGACGACCCTACGACCTCAGGAATGAGAGTCGCACGCTGAAGCCACTAGGCCAACACTGCTCTATATTATTGTATGTATGTTAAAATAAAATTTACCTAGACATTTCCGTGGACCTTCGCCAAATGGCATCCAAATGCAAGGATGCATTTTAGCTTTCTTCTCAGGCGCGAATCGCTCCGGGTCGAATCTTTCTGGATCTTCAAAAATATCTGGGTCCATTTGTATTGACTGAATTGGTACGAATACCAAGGTACCATTTTCAATTACTAAGTCAGAGTCAGGGAGTTTGTAGTCTTTGTTGCATCTCCGGAATAATGCACGTAGTGGTGGATGTATACGCATTGTTTCTGTAAATAATATTTTAGTTAATATATGAGAAGTGCACATATCATTTTATTTAATGTCATCAGTGGCGCTAAATTAGTAGATTTTTTTGTTTCGTGATCATTTATTTTTAAATAACTTTTTGGGTCTTAGTCATACCGGTTTCCTCATAATGTTTTACCGTACAAACGCGTTTTAAATGGTATATCTATATATATACAGAAAGCCCATAAGTGTACAGCCGGGGTTAGAACCTACGACCTCAGAAGTAAGATCGCACGCTCAAGACACTAAGCTACCATTAAAAACATTCTGAGGATCAACATTTTCTATTTCTCGCCTTTATTAAGAACAGAAAGACAGTAAAAATTTACCATCTAGCACCATATTCGTATAGGTCATTTCGTTTTGGGCTTCGTAAGTGAATTGTCCGTCGTATTTTGCGAGGACCGTTTGTACTTCCTGCCTGACTTTGTCCTGTACATGAGGGTTACGCGCCATTTCGTAGGCAGCGAACATTCCCGTAGTAGCAGATGTCTCGTAGCCAGCGAACATGTAGAGCATAGTGTTTGCTGCTACGTCAGTAAACGTAAATTGGTTTGATCCATTGCCAACTGGAAGAGAATTTACACATTACTTAAGGGTGGAAACCAGTTTATGCCGATCAAAACACTCAAGAATATGCGGTCAACATTTGAAAGCAAAAATCACATTATACCCGTTGCATTAGCGGCTTAGAAACATGGAGTTTAATGAAAATTTGTCGTATTTTCAATACTAACCTTGTTTTTCGCTTTCACTTTTCTGTAATTCTATAAGCGTTTGCAGGAAGTCGTTTCTATAATAGTTGTTTTTCTCTCGAAAACTAACAGTGTCTTTGACGAGATTGTAAAAGAAGTTATTAATGGCGGGATTTGTTCGGTTCACTCCCATTTTTTTGAAAATATCGGGAGCGAAAAATGATATGGCCCTAATTACTGTCCTGAAAATTCAATCATGATGAGTAAAATCAATCTAAAAAACCACTTATACGTTATTTACTTTTTTACTAATACGTATAAATTACTGTACTTTTTGATCATCTTATAAAGTTATTAAAATGTATAAACAATCATCGGTGCTAATTACATATTATTACTATTAGATTTACTTATAAGGTGATTTGTAAAAACACAGAATTTGTATTTCTTGGCTTTTTCATTCCACATTTTATATATAGATATGGGATTTAAAATCAAAATTGTATATTACCCAATAAAAAGTTAGTCACGACCTTATAAAAACGATTCTACAATTAAACTATGATGTAAAATTCATAATTATGATAGTATGTAAATATTTTTGCAAAACAAGAACTATTTGGAAATTTCATAACTTTTAAAAATTTCCAAACAAAATATACACGAGTTCAGGCTAGCATTTAGTTTCTTAATCAGCTATTTCCAAATAAGCTAATACTTCCAAATATAAGTAAACAATTCAACACGAGCACTTACCAATATATAGTTTTTGGTACAAAATATTCGTTTCCTCGCTGATAGAACTCGGTTTCCTTCTTCAACCCATCATTTTCAACACCAAACCCTACACTACCAACGATTTCCATAGCGTATTTTGCATAAAACTCTGAGAAGTCAACAGGTTTCCCTTCAGCATAGTGTGCGTCACCATATTCGACCGCTTGGGATGCTATTTTCTCCACTAAGGGGAAAAACGACTTAAGTTTTACCGGCGTGAAAGCTGGTGAAATTTTCGTACGAATTGTTCTCCATTTTGGTCCAGCTATATTGAAAAGATGTCCCCCTAGAGGCTCGCCAACACTTGCACTTGAGAATATCCCATGCGATTGGAAATGGTCAAAATCTTTTATTATAATGTGCTTTGCTAGATCCGGATCGTTAATACATAGTACTGGTGTGTGGAAGGAATAAACTCCGACATACGGCAACTTTTTAAATTGATAATAAGTGTCACAGAATGGCTGGAAGAATTGTTGCTTTCGCTGGATAACTTGTCTTACATTTCCGAACGGGAACTCCGGCTTAGGACCTTGTACGCCTTTTCTGGCCCAGTACGTAAACCTATATTTGAACCAAACGTATACTAAGAGTAAGCTGACAAACCCCAAGAGAAATATCTCATGGAGTATCGAAGAAGTTAATTGCAATACAGCCATTATTGAATAGATAAACACGCGGTTGAAGTTATATCGAATTCATAACAAAAAAAATCACTTCACACCCGGCTGTTTTGGGTGTATTATGTTCACTAGTACTGGAAGGATGAGTTAAGTCTGTACCTTACTATCTTTTATTTCAAATTTATATGAACGTATGTTACCGGCAATGACAAAATTATAATTATTTTTATTTCGTCCTAATACTTTATGTTGCTTTATTTTTGTTGTAACTGTTCAACTTAATCGATTATGAATTTATAAAAAAAATATAAACAATGACCCTACCAGCAATCAAAATAAGGACACAATCTCAACCAATTCACACTCTCTGCATCTAAAAATCAGTGTAAGACTTCAGCAGGTGTCGCATCTTCAGGTCTTCCCCTCGGGTTTCGTTCGCAGGGAGCCAATTCCTACTAACAAAACAAAATATCAGTGATACTAAAACATTTCCAATGTAGTTTTAATATTTAATTTACCTTATCTTTTCTATTAAGTGTCGATGTCTCTTTTCAGTTCAGTTTTAGTAGTAGTTAAATTCTCTTGCAAAGCATTAGGTTACTTGCATAAGTTGTGGAGCTAATCCATAAATAAGCTTTTCTATTTATTCAAGGAGAAACAGGAAATGTATCTTAGATAGCTAAGGCTCTTCAGAGTCTAGTCTAATCATAGCGCTGTGTATTAAAAACGAGTTAGATGTTAACATACGGATTACGGGAGTCAATTATGTAATATATGATCAATAAAACGGTAAACAAGCTTTTGTTTTTGGTTACATTTATTTTTAATTCAATATTGATTGATAAATAGTTTTCTTGGCTTCCGTCAAGAAATTTCCAAGATATATTAAAATACGTAGAATTATAAATCTATCTGTAGCGTACGGTAGAAAGAAATCATAAGTACAATTTTTTCACCAGATCACGATCTTATCACGAGGAAGTTAAAATTTATGATTTTCATCTTTGCTATTATTTTATTTATTATTTACAAATAAAACAAAGTTCAAAATTCGCACTACCGAGGTCAAAACGATTTATATTTATTATGTATAAGGCATATTTCACACTTGTCACTAGTATTTAGTAAATATAAACCCCGTATTTGTTTGTAGTAACGTGTGGAATAATATAATGATTGGGTTCCTAAGTGATTTCAAATTGTCAGGTCGTAAATTCGAATCCCTTCTGAACACTTATTCTATAAGTGCAATAAACACTTTGTACGGTGAAGCATAACATGATAGTTGTGTTTTAGAGCTTAATTACTAAAACCGACGATAGCCAATAGAAAAATGTTCAATGAAAGAGACGCAGTAATATGTTTGCTTCGTGCCCCATTAGGGAACTTACGTAGGCATTCACACCAGGCTTCACCACCGTACCATAATTGTCATACATTTTGATAATGACGCACCATGGTACACTGCTATCGTACCTAGATTGTACGATATTTTTAGAATAATATTACAAATAATTGGAAGAATATATCTCGTTTTTTTTCTTAATATTAAAAAATATATAATGTTTTTCCAAATATTATAATGGGACATAACATTTAAAAAAGATAATGTCTATGAATTCTACTGGTTGTATTCTATCTCTATTCCTGTCATCATCAAAATCAAAAATCGGGTTGAATGTTTTTGTCGTGTATCAAAAAGTACTTAGTAAAGAAGTAAGTCAAAGAAGTACGCGACTACTTAAATTAATTAAAAAAAAAGGTTTTTTTAATCTTATTAAGTATACAAGTAAAATAAATATTTTTTTAGATAATCTGTTCATAACCGAAAAAAAATAAGTTTTTTAGTTCCAATTATGAAACCTCTAGTTAAAGTAAGGATAACGTTGTTAAGCGATATAATTTTAAGAGATGGCCATTTGATTTTATAATAAGTATTAAAATTAATGGCTTGAATCTTGTCATGAATAATAAATGCAAATATACTTCCTAGAAGAATTTGTGAAAATTGTTTTTGTATTCATTTCTTATACGGTACAATGATATTCAACGTGGATTGATTGTACGTAGTTATAGTTAAATTCCCACCAGTTGAACAGTTCAGTGTTCTAAACGTGAATCACAAAGAATTTAAATAACCTCAAAAATATTAAAATTATATTAACTTATGTGCCGGCAACGCACTCGCGAGCCCTCTGGCATTGAGAGTGTCCATGGGCGGCGGTATCACTTAACATCAGGTGAGCCTCCTGCCCGTTTGCCCCCCGTTCTATAAAAAAAAGGGGCTTTAATGCTTTTTTGATTTTAAAAAATTAAGTGAATATTGCAGTAGTTTTTAGATGAGCCTTTTTTAGGCTCTTCAAATTGACGCGATTTTATATCTTATCCTAGTCATTCTTTGTGCTTGCACGCTGCGCGGCTCTTTACGTAAGTTGTACTTAGATTTATTTGTTTATTGAAATGGAAATTGGAGAAGATGGTCACAGGCCTTGACTCGGTAAGCCGGAATGTCGGTCTTAGAATGAATTCCGAGATATCCGAAATAACAATATCTATGACCGATGATGTATATAAAATATGATAATAACAAAAAAAATAGTCACAGGAACAGCAAAAGCATGGAAGAGCTTATGGGCGCTTAAAGAAGTCACGAAAAATAAGAAAACGAGCATGAGCACGAGTAATTAAAAGAAAGCTCTTCAATACTTGTATACTACCTGTACTAACATATGGATCTCATATTGCTGGATTTGGAGGAAGCCTTTGGCAAAAATACAAGTCAGCCAACAGAAATGCATAATATTTCAGTAGGTAAATATGAATGGGTGCAGAACCAAGGTTAGGTAAGCAACACTTCCACAGACTACACTGACATCACACAAGCACATTCCTAATCTAAATGATGTTTATCACAATCTTGAAACAGCTAAACCGCCTTCAAGGTGGCAAGGTAGTAAGTCCCACGTCAACACTCTTGCAAAACCGTAGCATGCCGTAAGCAGAGGTGTTTTCTAGTCTGGGCGGAAGCGGCGGTGACACGTGATAAAAACCCCTCTAGGTCCTTCAAAAGAGCCATTGCTACGGACTATTGAAAGAATTGTTGAGAGACTAGCTCGCTCAATTGCCAACGCTACCCAAGAAAATTTCTTCAAGTCTTCACTTCCATCACTTCTAGCATTTTAACGTTATAGCCAACACTTTTAAGGAGAAACCCCTTTGGTTGCCAGCCAACCAGTTGGCTCTCTTTTTGGTTCCATTTCGACTCTTGATGACCAGGGGAATATACCGTCATCGCTATACTTGAATGCCGGAATTCGTATTCCGGCTCCGTGCTGTCCGCAAATCTTTTGAATATCTGGGGAGAAAAGCCTGGATGGTCAACAGTCAAACAGGCCTGAAGGTGTTCCTCTAATTATGCTGCGCACGTGTGCTCCAGAGCTGGCTGCGGCTATTACGCGTCCTTTTAGGCCAGTTTCTTTGTCCCAAACGCTAAAAATTTGCTACCCATCTCCCCCCTTGCCTCCTGTCCCATAAAAAAAACCCGACGCGCACAATCAGGATCCACGACTGCTGGTTATTTACTCGAGTTCCTATTTGGTTGACAGGAAACCAATGCCTATACTGAAGTCCTACAGAATTATGGGACACCATGCTGCGAGGGGCATGAGTAATGAAAGGTAATGCTATCACTATGTGCTAGATAATAAAGCAATTAAGTGAAAGTATTAAACTTATCTAATATTGAAATAAAACATCATCTTAAACCTAAAGTTTATTTACTTCTCACTCGTTTAAAAATTAACAAAACTGAGCAGCAAGTAATTACTGGCTTAGAAATTACCACAGATAATTTTTTTATGAATATTAAAAAGATATATTGTTTTTTTCAAATATTATAATATGATATAACATTGAAAAACGATAATATCTATAAATTCTGATGTTTGAATATCTCTATTCTAGTCATCGTTAAAGCAAATTCTACAACAAAAATACCATTGTTACTTTTTACGAGGGTAAGGTAATATATATTCGACTTAGAGAAATCACAACTGATAGGTATGTTAACATACAATCCGTCAGTCAGCGCATGGGTTAATATCGCGAGACCACTGGTGCTTTAGTATTCTAAAGTTTATTAAATGCAAAACAAATATAACAGTCCAATGTAATTAAATTAGTTTTATATAAATACTATGCTTTGGCTATTTAACAGTTTTCTAATTTTCTTAACTTAATCCAAATATCTCCTTCGGCTGCTGTAGACATGGAAGCTACTTTAACTTCTATAGGAGTTATAGTTCTTTTGTCCAAACATAATTCATAGTTAGTCAATAGCTTTATTAGACCAACCTTAGATTGAATGTACCCTTGGCGTAATCCTGTAAGAAAATTTATGTTATATGTTTTTCGTTAATTTAATTTTGCATCTACGTATTTACTAAGAAAAAAAAGAAGAGAAAAAAAAAATGTACTAGTCTTTTTTTCAATAAATTGCCACTCGTTATTTTGGCGCGCAATTGTCAATATTCTTTGGCAAATTCAAGTTATCTGTGACCGCGTCCGCTTCGTGCGTTCTGTTCATAGACATTTTTTATTAGGTTCAAACACAACTGAAGAGATTATAATTATAGTGGATGTAACTTGATATTACTTGGTATGAAAAACGTGAGACTGCTCGATTTTTCGCAACACACTATTTTTGCATACAAATATTTTTGAAGTGAAAAATTTAGTGTAACATTTTTTCGTTACACGTCACATTTTTCGGTTACGCGCCATGTTGCTTTTTGAAGTCAAACTTCTTTATCGGCGTTGGAATGAAACTTCTTTATCGACGTATGGGAGAAATTTTGTAGCAAATCGTCACGTTTTTCAATGATAGTAATAATTCTATTACAATTAATGAAATTCTATAATAATCTTCGTAGTAATAAGGTAAAATGAAATATTTGTATTCATGTCTATGATAATAAAAGCCTTTTGTTAAACTTTATCTAATTTAACGAATTTCTGTAAAGTTGCTGATCATTTTT